ATGTACAAAAATACCATATTCGTAATCAACACAAAAAACTGACTTAGCCCAGATGTATTTCCAAAGTTTCCAATGACTTTCATTGTTTTTTCCTATGGCTGAGGGGAACCCCAGGCATGATAACACCCGTCGAATGAAAGTCATCGTAGATCTTGGAAATACATCTGGGCTAAGTCAGTTTTTTGTGTTGATTACGAATATGCTATTTTTTTAGATAAAGTTTCAGAAAGTGTGTATTAAATCGGGCATTTACTAGTAAAAAGACTCATTTTTTCCACAGATTCAGGGTATGTAAGCCAAGCGAATATTTGGTTCACTTTCTTTTCTTCATAAAACGTATCTATTAGATAGAAAGAAGAAATTTGAAAGCACTAGATCAATTTCCAAAGTGGTTCACGATCCTTTTATAGTCAAAATGCTCAAATTTGGGCTCTTTTGAGGGTCTTTCTCCCCACTATTTACGGTAGGGGTATACCTAGCTTATTTTCTTTCTTCATGAAAATGTATCCAAACGAAACCTGCATATAGTACGAATTTTTTAGGTTCCCTGGGGGGCCCCAGGACACGGAAAAATGAAAGTCGACTTTCCGACGTTTTTACCCACCTAAAAGGTCCAAGGTACAGAGCTGATTAAAACACAATTGGAATCTGGCCGAACTCTCGTGGACGGATTACGAATGATTGATCAAAATAAACTGAATTGAAATGCATTGATTTCTTGTTTTGTACAGTATTTTTAGATATTTATTTTTGAATAGAAAAAAAAGAATTGTTCTTTCAACTGAAGATAAACGTTTTTAGTCAAACAAAAAGTCTTCGTAATAATTGGTACTGTTCATTCTAAACCATAGGTAAATATGCAATGAATAAGAGTAGAATTATCTTTGGAATGTTTTTTGATGTCATGATTGCTTCACAATTATTTATTCCAGTCCAATCGCTTAACAGATTTGTACAACCTGCATCTACCACGCTTGGATGAAACTTAGGAATACTTTCTCCAATTTTTGTATCATCATGAGCAATATACCAATACAAGGCACCAATTTTGGCAGCTGGCTTAGCATCAAGTTTATCTAAACCAATGTAATGTCCAGTTGCATTATCAACATACATAATAATAGGAAAGATACCAGCAGCATCAATAGCAGTACCAATCCATGCTTGTACAGCAACAGGTTGCATATTCTGAATTCCCCATTTCTTTGTAACAATCCATTCACCAGCATAATCCAAAAATCGAGAATTATAATTATAAGCTTCACATCGATAATTACATGCAGACAGCCACGTACATGTATTTGATCCATAATTGTACTGGTAAAATCCACTAGCATTAAAATAATAATAAGTAGTACCTGCAGTCACAATCAGTAGTTGATTGATATCATCCATAATCCATACTGCATTCGTTACAAAATTTGCCGCTTGGATACCAAAGATTCCATAACCAGTATTACTTGGTAATGGATTAGGTAATTTATGTGCACTGATATTAGCATTAGGACAACGATTACTATAACCATTCTTACAAACTTTCAGATATCCTGTTGATTGAACTGGAATTGCAGGATCAAATACATGTCGTGCTCTACCAAATGGAGGTTGATTATCGACAAGAGTATTCGGTGAAGGAAAAGGACTTCCGGAAAGAATAACATCAATTGAATAGAGTTTATTATCCAAAGTATTAATGTGTAAAACTACTAAATGTGTATCAGATTGAGTAGAACATCCTGGCCCAACACCATTATAACCCACAGGTGGGCATTGATAATCTAAATCATAATCATCTATTGTTCCTAAAACAGTTAATGCACCAATTTGTGCATAAAACGTTTCATTTGTGTTTGGTTTTCTATATGTCGTATAATTTGTCGTTAATTCAACTATTTCTTGCCATGAAAAGATAAAACAATTGTTTGTTGAAGTATTATTCATCGTTATAGTTATGGTCGTTTCCATACAAGATGATGGAATTCGTTGAAGGTAAAAGAGACCATTACAATTAACTGAACAAAACGAAAAAAAAAAACAATAAAATATGAAACAAAGAATTATTCTCTTGATTTGATACTAACTGAAACTTATGAGGAAAATGTTGAAGAAGACGAACGAAAGTATAATGTTCGACATGAATGTTCCTGGTTGTTTACACTTTTTAATGAAAAATACTATGACTATTTCCTTTCTCCTTTTATATACTTGCGTTGAGAGAAAAACAACAGTATGTTTGCCCTCGCGAAAGTACCAAAAATACGTAACATATATTTGCTTTATTTTAGTGAGTTTTCTTTTGAAAAATGATTCAAAATAATAATATAATATGAAATTCAAGAATTAATTATTCTGTTACTTTGACGATGCTGCCAATGATACATAAGACACTTATATTTATTCTTGTCTTTTTTTCTCTTCATACAGCGGAACTGGCTTAAGAACTTTATGATTTAGTATTAAAAAAAAAAGAATTTCTTGAGCACAAAAAGTGTTTTTTAGTACAAAGGCGAATGATGAGTTGTGCCTAAATATTTGATTCTCAATAGATTTTCTTTTGAAATGAACAAATCTGTTTGACATAATAATTCTGTTAATGGTACAACGTACATCTGGGAAAGGCAACGATATACTGTCATTATATTACATGAACCAGAGTAAAAATATGAAATCAATAGAATTCAGGTTAGTTCTGCCAGAAAAGGCATTAACAACACGTTTTGTCGATTATTTAAAAGAAATCACAAAAAAGCAATTCAATCAAACGAATGAATCAGATGGTGAAAAACCATCTGCTGTTTTTGCAATTGAACTGAATTTCGCTTCTCAATAAGATTCTATGTAAATTATCGTTCGATACGTATTCAAAAGGCTTAGTTGTTACAAAGGACGGGGATCGCTAAGGTCGTAAATTTGCCCATATTTAATTTCCCTAGTCTTATATATCATTCAACGCAGAATTGCGCCGCGAGTTGTTTTATGATAATTTCAAATGAATTCGAATAAATTTAGAATGATAGAGGCCATTATTACTCTCATTGGCAGCATGGTCTCATATGATGCGTTATAGTGTTTTCCGGGAAATTGAATATATTACAACATCATCCCAATTTTCGGAAATTCAAAGAAGTTTTTCGCACTACATCAGTGTAACCTTGTGATTCTATGTGATGAGGGTTATATCTGACTGAGGATGAAGGGTATCGATCAGAATGAACGTATACGGCATAATCAGTATGATTATGCCCATTATGCCCTATATGTCTGATCTCATAAAAGTCCATAGTACCTTTACTATGTATTGTCACGGATTGCAGTTTCCTTATTCCATGTTTGTGTCAAAAATGGATTGCCCGGAAAACGCTATAACGCATCAAATTAAGATTTGTCGCTCGCAGTCTTCTCAGATTCTTATCATCTAAACCTACCTTTAACATAGTACACCCACCTGCACGATCGTCAACATCCTTCTACTTCTACTCCCATATTCGTCCTCACCCACACCCACGACACTGCTAGTTGTTGGTCCTAACACTTCCGTTTACTGGCATACACAGATGGTTGAGCTTCTACTCGTATCGAAAGTTTTGCCCTTTCCATCAGTGACCGCCCATATGTATATCTGAGCACCTTCTGACTTTGCTATATCTCACTTTTTCTTCAACTTATCACATCTAGTCGCACACTTTTCAACACTTTTCAGCTCTCGCTCTTCTTTCTCGCCCTCACATCCACCCTCACACTTCAATTAATCTTTATTTTTCACAATCAAACGCGCATACATAAAACTAAAAATATGCTCCAAGCGTTAGTGCTAGTATCTGCTTCTTGTATTGACATTTCCACAGCCAACACAATGACTGAAACAACGTTCACCTCATATAGCGCACCAGTTTACGGGTTTTCCAAAAGAGATGACTCCCTTAATGGAAGGTTTGGGCTTAATTCCTAATGCCATAATAAGAGCGGGAGGCGTTACTACACATAATGCAGTTTCATCCAACAATATAAAAATACATAGGTTGCTCATAGTTGGAATATGTGTATTCATAGTAGATGTCGAGTTGGCCGAAAAGCCCGTTATTTCATTTGTTGCTACTTATGTCCCAAATGTATCCGCATTCACGATTTCAGGGTCATTTCATCGACTTGTCTTGTAAATATGTTCCAGGAAAAAGACGAGAGAGAGAGGATGTGAAAAGAAGAACTGTTGTTCCGGTTCAAGTCCT